AACGTTAACACCCACACCGGCCAACAATTGTTTAGATCAGAATTCATGTGAGAAAAAATATGTTTCAATAAAATATGTATGTACAGTTTATATGTATATTATTAACAATATATTTTGTTCCTACATATATGTAACAATATAAGAATAATATATATTAAAAATACATTTAACATCCAAACTGGCAGCTTACATACAAAGCAATTAATTTTAAATGATTTAAATAGAAGGGGCAAAAAACTCAGGAAAGAGTTGTTTCCTATTCTTCCAGGTCCACTCGAGAGGTCTCCATGACCTCTGACCTGGCTGGGTAGATCCTGAGAAAACAAATGATTCGGCATACAGAAAAACAATCATGCACACGTTACTCCAGATTTACTCTAAAGAGGGAGGACATCATGGTCATCATATAATCTAGGCTCTTAAACATTCAACTTTATTAATAATCATAAAGACACAAGAAAGGATATGTGTTACTCAATCCTAGAGCAGACATTAATCAGAAAATACAATTATATTCTATTTTATTTATTGTGTCCATCACCAAACAAAGTATAAATCTACTCTAAAATGTGTTACAAGTCTCTCTCTCTCTTTATTTTTATTTGGTAAAATTCAAGAGCCTAACACAAACTATTATAATTATATACTTCATCAGAAATCGCTATTCACTGTAAAACTGTTCATATCTTCTTCATGCTCTCTCAGGAGGCTTTAACAACACAATCTTCCAAAGCAAATGGTTAAACAGTTTTACTGTTAAACTTTTTATTTTTTCACTTAATTGTTGTCTTATTTAAAATCACACACACACACACACACACACACACACACACACACACACAACCCTATTATCCATTATTACTGAAAATAAAATATATAATTATTTTAGGTTTTATCTTTGAATGGATACTAAACAGCTGACTTTCATTTAACTTGATTTATTTTATCCTTGTACTGTATTTTATTTTTTTGTTGTTGTTTTTTTCTGTTTTATATGTATATTTTCACATGAATTGTGTCTATTTAATTTTCCTGGCATGTGTACTGTTTCGAACTTTAGGACAATATATTTTCCTGCATCTGTGTGGTGAAATATAAAAGTACTCAAAGTCAGAAGAAAGACAATATATTTTTAAATGCACCGAAACCTATGCCTAGATCAGTTGTAGTAACTGTTTTAAAGTTGTTTCTGCCCCTATTGGGCCATTAACACCTGGGGATGGGCAGATTGGGCTGCTGTTGGATGCTGTCTCCTGATAGGCTGTTGATCTGCTGCCAGCTCAGGTTAAAGAGGCCCATCTCATCTCGGTAAAGTTACAGTTGTATCATTTTCAGCTACAGCTTGCTGCGTTTGACCAGTGGACAGAACTCACATTTCAACATCAGAAATGGCTTCTAAACAGTAAGTACATTTAGTCAGTATGCCTTATGCAGCAGGCTTCTTAAACTCAGTTTAGCTTGTATCATTTTATCAGTGGAGTTAGTTTGTGGAAGTCAAATCTTTAAAAATCTAAAGAGTCTTCTAGAACTTAGTACTTCTAGATAAATAAAAAAAACTTTTAAATTTAGAAGTTTAGAAAACCTCTGAAGAGGACAGATATTTGTGAGAGGACAGCAGTTTGTACACTAGTTGTGTTGTTATTTTATATTTGACTTGTAAATCCTAACTGCTGGTATAATCTTGTTTAAGAAATAATTGAGATAATTTTATTCTTCTCTTATAATAAATGTCATATTATTAAATATGTTTTAAATAATATGGTTAGTAACAGTATTATATTAATATGAAATTAAGTTTTGTCTTAAAACTCTAATCAAAATATCCGCCAGACATTGCTGTGAGTGTTTGTGTGCTCATTTCTTTGTTTCTGTACCTGGAGTTGGGGGTGGGGTGTGGTGGACCCCAAACCTTACCAAAGCTGCTCTTGGTCTCTTCATTTTATAACATTTTGATTTTATTATCCACACAGATCCTTCCACAGCAGGATGTTTTTCCTCTGCCCTGTGTGCAAAAAGGCTCCTCACTCTCTTCCTGGGCATCTCAGGAAGGTGTGTATGAGGAACAGCACAGAAGCAGAGATCCAGGCTGTCGTCAAAGAGGCCAAGAAGGAGTTGTCTGAATTCTGTCACAAAGGACGTTTCTGGGAGTTTGGAAAAATTTGTGACATATTGGACTCTACTAATCCTCTTGCCAGGTTTGTATTCAGTTGTGTTATCTTATTTGATGTATCGGACTTCAAATCTAACATCTGCATATAATGATAAATATACATTTTTGGTATTGTTTATTTGACCTTATTTTATGTTCCTTGTTTTAGGATGATTGCGGAGATGCAGTCAAAGGGGTTGGTGATTAATAACTTACCTTCAGTCCTCCCGGAACCAGCTCGGTCGACAACATCTTCTGTGCCTCAAAGCTCTGGAGAAGGTGCAGAAAGTCCATTGGAGCCTCCAAATGAGTCCTTATCCGACGAGAGCTCTGGAGAGTACTACCAAAGGTATACTTTTATATCAGCATTCCCAGAAAGTAAATATACACTGTGGATATGACTTATCTTTAATATACAAAGTCGTTTTGATCACCTGCTTTTCTATTTCAGCACTGGTGGACCGATGTGGACCTCTTCCGTGAGGGTGGAGATGGTCAAAAAAGGCTTATACAATAAGCACTCCATTGACCACCCCCTTCTAGCAGGATTTAATAAGTACCTTTACACTGACCTAGGATATAAAAACAGCAAACAAGTAGTAAGTTCAAGTGAAATTATATATGTAAAAATGAGTGAGTGGGTGTTGTTTTATGCAGTACAGTTTATTTTAATGTGAAATGTGTCCTTTCAGGTGGAAACAGTGTCCAGGTTCTTGCATTACATGGACCCCACTGAGCCTAACTTGATGTTTGTTCGGCGGGTGGAGAAAGTGCGAGAGTACTTTAACATCTTGTCAGATACAAAGCTCTCAAAATGGACAGTGTTCAACTACTCGAAGAGTCTCACGAGGTCAGTAATGTGGAACCACCACAAGCTTGCCATGTACATGTTAACTAATCATGTCATCTGTGCTGTGTTCTGACTGTAACAAACCCAATGTTGATCTCTTTTCAAGGTTCATGAAATACATTATTACCTCCACGGACATTCGCCACAACAATCCAGCTTTGTTCCAGGACTGTGAAAGTTTTATGGATGTGCTGTATGGAATACAGAGTGGCAAGTCCAAAGAAGTGAGCATGGAGGTCACAGCAAAAAAATCAGAGTTTGGTTGTGGCAAAGAAGTTTTGCCAAAGGACTGCCTTGCTGTTTTGGAGGCTGCATTCAAAGATTTCCAGGCCGTGATATGCAAAATGCAGGGTCCAGGAGCCATCACAGGGGACTGTTTGACTAAAAATGAACGGCTGCTCGTCCTGTACTACCTGGAGGCTGTTATCATGCTGAAGCTAGTCCAGCGGCCTGGAATTGTGACACACATGACTGTAAGTGTTTGTTTTTCCCTACATTGACTTCCTTGTTCTTATATGCTTCATCAATGTGCAAAACTGTCTTTTTGCAGGTTGAGGATTGGGAGGGGAGAAGCCGGATAGAGAATGGTGTCTGTGTTGCAGTGAAGGAGCACAAAGTACCATTGTCACACGAACAGGAACTTGTAAGTTTATATTGTCTTTTATATCATAACAGCAATAAATGTATTGTGTCAAATTTAGACTTATTTTTTTCCTTTCTTTAACTAGTGGTTCGACTTGTACTTCAATGAGGTGCGGCCAGTAATGCTGCAAGAAAACCGCACTGGCGATGATGTGGCAGTTGATTCATTTTTTGTGTCAAGTAGTGGGAGATCAATTTATAATCCCTCCAACGACTTAAAAAGACTACATGAAAAGTAAGCAACCTTACACCTGTCTTTAACTCTACATGTTCATCTGTCCACTTTTTGCCTTCTTACGATGCCTTGTGTTTCAGATACAGTCTTCCCAGTGTGACGTGTGGCGATGCCCAGAGAGCATTTGAGGCAGCAGCACAAAACCTGTCAGAAGTGGAGAAAAATGTGGTGGCAGCTGAAAGAATCTACATGAGGGGAACATCTTCAGATCCGTTTCTGGCTCTAAGTGTGCTAGACCAGCTCGCTGGGAAAACACCGTAAGCATCTAACAGCTGAGATGATCCTTATTTTTAAATTTGCAACCCACAGCCATGCCTTTCCTTCCTTCAATATTTATTTTTTATGATCTTATAGACAAAGATCCAGTAGAGCCTCCAACTGTGAGACAAGTGTGGACGAACAGACGGCCTACAAAACTCTTGAGCAGTTCTGTCCAGTGACTCTGGAGGGGCCTCCTCCAAAAAGGGCACGCAGGACTGAGCTGTGTGGCTCAGAACATGAGAGGGACTGCTATGACCGCTGGCTGCGGTGAGTATACAGATGATTAATGACACAAACAGGGGAATTGAGTAAGAATAGCCGAATACTGATGTGTTTTGTGTTTCTAGAACACTTTGCTGGACAGCAGCCATCAGAGTCCAAAATAAGCCGCTGGATGGACAAACAAGGGTGGACGTCAAACGTCCCACAGGCTGCAGTGGTTCTGAAGCAGTGGAAACCTGTTGCCAGGTTGGACTTGGTCATCGACAGCAGCTTTGTGAAAAAAATTATTTTGTCTCAACGCTGGAAAGGACTGACTGTCAGGCCCGTCCCTGACAAGGGCGATGGTGTTTTCACCAAAAGACCCTTTCAGATCGGGGAGGTTGTCTGTGAATACCACGGCGAGCTGGTTAGCCATGAAGATGGGATGGCAATAGCTTCGACAAGCAGCATCAGAGCTGGCCATTTGTTTTTTTATAAGAACAAGCAACATGAAGCCATGTGCATTGATGCACATGAAGAAAGTTGCCAGTGCCATCCCATGAAGTTCAATTATGGACGTCTGATCCGTCACTCCAGCAAAAGAGCCAATATCCGGCCCAGGCTGTATGTCCTTAATGATAGAGACATCATTCTCTTCATTGCTACAAAAGACATTTCGAGTGATGAGGAGTTACTCTATGATTATGGCTCAAAGAGGAGATCTTTTGCCGGGAAAGGGCTGGAATTGGACTGGATGAAAAACAACATCTTTCCATCGCCCATACTCACTCACTTCTAACATGTCCAACTCCCAAGTTTCCACCTGTGGCCATATTCTCTCCTCTCTCTCTCTGGACAACCATCACTGCTCTTCTCACCCTGGAGTACTCTTTCTGCACTGCCAAGCAACAACACTGCTCTCCAAATAGAGACTTGGTTGTAATAGGCTGAATGAGTGGGCCTTGCAAACCATTCACCTTTACTTCCAGAGAATTGTATTTTCTCTCACTGACTTGTCTTTTGCTCTTTTTTTTCTCATAAGTTTTCTTTACGCAACAGTGAGAGTGTGAGTAGGCTACTCCATATTCTCTCCTCTCTCTCTGGATTCTGTACAACATGTGGAATTACAGCCTGGTAAGTATGCTGAAGCTGCACATAACCCTCCCTCGCACCCTCAAGTTTCAACCATATTATTGTGCAGTTTCTGGTTGTCGTCTTCTTTTTTTTTAGATTACCTAGGCTTTTAAGATCAGCTGCCATGGACCTCCCTGCTGAGAATTAACCTGGCATCTTAATTCTTCAAAGTTATAGTATATTCATTGTAGGATTCAGCTCCATTTTAATTTAAGGCATTACCTATGTTGTCTTTATGTTGTTTTAATAATGTTCAGATTTTGTTCATTTGTTTGCACTTGTATATACTGGAAGTTGTTTATTTTCTTTAGTGTAGTTATTATTTGATATTAATATTATATATAGTTTTTTATCGTGCTGTTATTTCACATTCTTACTAAAAAGTTGCAGAAAGTACCCAGTGTCACAAAGTTCTGTTTCAGTGGATTCATATGCTTTTTAAACTAAATAAAAGTGTAAACACAGACACAGTGTTGGGATATAATTAACAATCATTTAAACTATATATTCCACTTAAAAACATGCAATCCTTAAAAACAGAAAATACACTTCATTATTTAAAACAAATGAAGCTTTTTCAGATAAGTACAACACTGTTTCCCCTTCACCTGAAAAGTGATGTGATAGTTTAAATCAATAAGAAAATGAAAATTACAGGGAAAAACAACTTAATGATCAAATTACAATTTTTTTCCTGTCATTTTCCTTTTTCCATGTGATCAGCCGAGGAAAAGAAAGAAGGAATCCTCAAATATCCACAATATCCTGGAAAAAACACTGAAATAGCAGGCTCTGTATGAGAGCTGCTCTTTGAAGAGAATAAGGCAATTAGCCTAATTAAAAAAGATAATTACAGTCAAATACAATAATAATTTATTTTAGCAAAAGAAAAAAAAGACAATCTATTTTGGACAGAATTCATTGTTAAATGTCAGACATTATTTATAAAGACAGACCGGCCTATAGAATTATTTTTAGAGTGTATGAACATGAATGGCAGCTGTTGTTTTTGATCTAACAGCAGCAAAACTAGCTTGGTTGTGATAGGCTGAATAAGTGGGGCTTACAAACCATTCACCTTTACTTTCAGAGAATTGTATTTTCTCTTACTGACTTGTCTTTTGCTCTTTTTTTTTCTCATAAGTTTTCTTTATGCAATAGTGAGAGTGTGAGTAGGCTACTCCATATTCTCTCCTCTCTCTCTGGATTTTGTACAACACATGTGGAATTACAGCCTGGTAAGTACGCTCAAACTGCTCTTAACCCTCCCTTCTACCCATCTTTAAGTTTCAACCAAATTGTTGTGCACTTTCTGGTTGTCGTCTTCATTTTGTTTCAGATTACCAAGGCTTTTAAGGTCAGCAGACATGGACCTCAATGCTGAGAATTAACCTGGTGTAACGAGGAGACTGACACGGAGGGATCCATTATGCAGTATTTATCTATCAAGCTCTCACTCAAACACACAATATCCACCAATGTGCAAACACACATCAACAAACGTCTTAAAGGTATCAAGACTGGTGGTAAACAGACACAGAGGGATCTACCAGACATGGGTCAAAGGGCAGGCTGCGTGAATCAGAGTCCGTGTATCAGGCTTGGGTCGTGGGCAGGTAGCGAGTATCAGAGTCCTTGTATCAGGCTTGGGTCGTGGGAAGGTAGCGAGTATTAGAGTCCGTGTATCAGGCTTGGGTCGTGGGCAGGCAGTGAGTATCAGAGTCCGTGTATCAGGCTTGGGTCGTGGGCAGGTAGCGAGTATCAAAGTCCGTGTATCAGGCTTGGGTCGTGGGCAGGCAGAAGGCGAAGCAGAGTCAGAAACAGGCTGGAGTTGTACACGAGAGATCAGGCAGGAAATAACGATCAGTAATGCTGGCCGGGGCTAAACAAGACTTCGCACTGACTGAGCGTTTGTGTGCGGCTTATAAAGGGTACGTGGGTCGTTAACAAGATTCAGGACAGGTGTGAGCACAATCAGCGTAGTAAATGATGTAATGCTAGAAGTCCGGAGATGGCAGCCTCTGCTGGCCAGCGAGGGGAGTGACTGGGACCGAGTCGGTGACAGAGCCCCCCCCCAACGAATGGCTCCTGAAGTGAGAAGGGTCTCGACGCCGGGGTCTTCCACGGGGGCGAGGGGCCGGCATATCCAGATGCTGCGAGTGGAACTCCTCCAACAAAGTTGAGTCAAGAATGTCCTTACGGTTGATCCATGATCTTTCCTCCGGGCGGTACCCCTCCCAATCGATGAGGTATTGAAGTTGACCACCCCGGCGTCTGGATCTCAGGATCTCGTGGATCTGATAGGCCTCCTCTCTGTCGATCATGAGAGGCGGGGGACCCTGTTTACCAGCTGCCACCTCCCTATCCGCCTCGGCTGGACCAACAGCAGGCTTGAGCATGGAACATGGAAAGTGGGAGAAATGAGATAATGGTTAGGGAGTGTCAGTCGAAAGGAAACAGGTGATATCTGACATTCAATTTGAAACGGACCCACGTACCTGGGACTGAGCTTCTTGCAGGGTAGTCTTAAGCAAAGATCTCGAGTGGATAGCCATACCCATTGTCCTGGGGAATACACGGGACCAGGACGACGGTGGCGGTCAGCTTGTTCTTTGAACCTTCGGATGGCATGCGACAAATGGGTGTGAGCTGCGTTCCATACCTCCTCACACTTTCTGAACCAGGTATCGACTGCTGGGAGTTCTGTGGTCTCACCTGACCAGGGGAATAGAGGAGGTTGAAAACCGAGCACACATTGGAAAGGAGTCAGACCTGTAGATGCCTTTCTTAGGGAGTTCTGCGCATACTCGGCCCACATGAGGAACTTATTCCAGTCTGCTTGGTTGGAGTGACAGTATGTGCGTAGAAAACGACCGATCTCCTGATTAAGTCGTTCTGTCTGTCCGTTAGACTGAGGGTGATAGCCAGAAGTCAAACTGACGTTCACTTGAAGGTTCTGGAAGAAGGCGGACCATAGTCGGGAGGTGAACTGGGGACCTCGGTCAGAAACAATGTCTTCAGGAAGACCATAATACCGGAAGACATACTCGCTTAGGAGTTCTGCTGTTTCTAGGGCTGTGGGTAATTTGGGTATGGCGATGAGTCGACAGGCCTTAGAGAAATGGTCCATGACCGTGAGGATGGTGGTATTCCCCTGTGACTGGGGTAGATCCGTGATAAAGTCGATAGCTATGTGTGACCATGGGCGACGAGGAATCTCTAATGGCTTTAGCAGGCCAGCTGGACGGTGACGGGAATGTTTAGCCATTTGACAGGGGGAACATTTATTGAGAAAACTGATCACGTTTTTATTCATGGACGACCACCAATAGCGGGACTGGATTAATTGAACTGTTGCAGTGCTACCTGGATGACCGGAACTGGGATGATTATGCACTTCTGCAATCAGCTTTTCACGGAGCAAGGGGGGCACGTAAATCTTGTTCTCGGGGCAAGCCTGCGGAGTGGGATTCTGGTCAGAAGCTTGAGTGATCTCGTGTTCGATGTCCCATTGAATGGGTGCTATAATGAGCGGATTCTTCAGAATAGGTTCAAACTCCTCTGTTGAGGTCTTCTCATCAGAGATGCGAGAGAGAGCATCTGCCTTGATGTTCTTCGAACCTGGTATGTAGGTGACTTGAAAATCAAAACGGGTAAAGAATAGCGCCCATCAAGCTTGTCTGGGGTTTAAGCGTTTACAGGATCGGATGTACTCCAGATTCTTATGATCTGTTATGACGGTGAATGGGTGTTTGGCACCCTCAAGCCAATGTTTCCATTCTTCAAGAGCAGCTTTCATGGTGAGGAGCTCGCGATTACCCACGTCGTAATTCTTCTCAGCGGGATTCAACTTACGGGAGTAGAAGGCACAAGGATGGAGCTTGTTAGTGGTCAAGGATCTTTGTGACAGGATGGCTCCGATACCGGAATTGGAGGCGTCAATCTCAACAACGAAGGGTCGAGAGGGGTTTGGGTGACACAGAATGGGTGCACTGGAGAAACGGGCTTTGAGCTAGTTGAATGCTTTAATGGCGTCCGAGTTCCACTTCAAACGGGCATTATTGGCTTTAACCATGGCTGTGAGAGGAGCAGCTACTGAACTGAAGTTCCTGATGAACCGTCTGTAGAAGTTGGCGAATCCTAGGAAACATTGTAACTGCCGGATGGTTTCGGGTTGTGGCCAGTGAGTGACAGAGTCGACCTTCTGTTGGTCCATAGCAACTCCCTCGGGACTGATAATGTAACCCAGAAAAGAGATACAGGTCTGATGGAACTCACATTTGGAAATCTTGGCATACAATTGGTTCTGGATAAGGCGTTTTAGCACTGCTCTGACATGCTGAATTTGTTCCCGCAAGTAGTGGGAGTAGATTAGAATGTCGTCAATGTATACGATGACCCACTGGTTGAGCATGTCTTGAAATATCTCATTAATGAATGCCTGGAACACGGAAGGACTGTTAGCTAGGCCGAAGGGCATGACAAGGTATTTGTAGAGGCCATTGATGGTAGAGAACCCGGTTTTCCACTCATCTCCTTGGCGGATTCGGACCAGGTTGTAAGCACTGCGGAGATCCAATTTGGTGAAATATTGGGCTGAGCGGAGCTGTTCAAGGGCTGCTGGAACTAGGGGTAAGGGATAACGGTACTTAACGGTTATTTCATTCAATCCTCTGTAGTCGATGCAAGGGCGCAAACTGCCGTCCTTCTTTTTGACGAAGAACCCAGCTGAAGCACGTGATGTAGATGGTCTTATGAATCCCTTTTCCAGCTCCTCAGAGATATACGAGTTCATGGCTTCAGTTTCTGGTCGAGAGAGAGGAAAAATGCGACCACGAGGGGGCGTGGTGCCTGGCAATAATTCAATGGCAGAATCATACTCACGATGAGGCGGGAGCTTGGTAGCTTTTTGCTTGTTAAAAGCTCGAGGAGATCGTGATACATCTCGAGAACTTGACAAATTTCTGAGTCGTCCATACTAGATATGGTGTTGATCTGGACAGGGGAAACAGAGTGTAGATACTGGGTAAAGCATTTCTCGCTCCATTTAATAATCTCACTAGTTCTTCAGGAAACTTGAGGGTCATGAAGTTGTAACCAGGGGAGTCCGAGAATGACGTTGTGTCGAGGAGAGTCAATAGCAAGGAGGGAGATTTCTTCTACATGGAGAGAGCCTGTGCGAAGAAATAATGGCAGAGTTCGGCACTTTACGTGTCCTTCCCCCAGGGGAAGCCCATCTATAGCAGTGATGGCTAAAGAGGAATTACAGGAGGTTAGAGGGATGGAGTGAGTTGAAGCAAACTTGTAGTCAATAAAGTTACCAGCGGCTCCTGAATCGACCATAGCCAAAGTCGAAATCTCAATCCCCTTATATTTCAGACAAACAGGAACACTCACAATGTCATTAGTGGTCGTGAATAGAAGGGACTTAGGTGGAGGTTTGTTGGGACACAAGATCTTCATATGACCTGAAAGTCCGCAATACAGGCATAAGTGATTCCTCCTCCTCCGTTCACGTTCTTCGGGGGTTAAGCGAGTTCTGCCCAACTGCATAGGTTCCGTGGGAGTCTCAGGAGATACAGGACTGGAAATAGCAGAGCATAGAGGGTTACAGGTGCGAAGTAAAGTATCTAACCTGATTGAAAGTTCGATAAGTTGGTCCAGTGTCATCTCGGCATGCCATCTCTCTTTGCAATTCTGGTCTCAAAGCTTTTCTGTAGAGTGTAGTGAGTGGATCATCAGCCCAGCCTGTTTGCGCTGCCAGTGTGCGGAAATGTAGCGCGAATTCAGCTGTGGGTCAATCTCCCTGTTGCACACACAAAAGCTCCTCACCAGCATTACGACCACCCTCAGGATGATCAAACACAGTGCAAAATCATTTAAGAAAGTCGTTAAATGAGGGAAATATCGGGGTACTGTCTGGCCAAACTGCGGTAGCCCAGTCTAAAGCTTTTCCAGTGAGCAGTGAACATACAAAAGTGATTTTCCCATTTTCATCCTAAAATAGATGGGGTTGCTGGGCAATGAACAGCTTACACTGCAGTAGAAAGCCTTTACATTTAGCTGGGTTACCTGTGAACTTATCGGGGAATGCCAAACGAACTCCTGAGGCAGTCTGGGTCTGTGTCAGCAAGGGTTGACTCGTAGAGTAATTGGCGGTGAGTTGCGCTGTGGAAGCAGCTTGCAGGTTTTGCAGAGATTTCACCAGTTCATCTGTTAACTGAGTCAAATGCGTTAGCTGCTGTTGATGTGTGGTTAGTACCTGAGCTTGAGCTGTGACTTCATGTGACAAAACCTGTATGGCTGCGGGATTCGTGGTAGGCGAAGTCTTCTGTAACAAGGAGACTGACACGGAGGGATCCATTATGCAGTATTTATTAGTCAAGCTT